TACAAATCACAAAATAATTATGTCCAAAATACTTTAAAAGGATTTATTATTTATTTACTAGCTTGATATTAATTTTAAATTTATTTAAAATTAAATATATGACAATAACAATAATACAAGTAGTAATTATAATATAAAAAACAAAATATAATTAGTTGGGGTGTTACAAAAACCAAACCCCGAAAATAAAAAGGAGAAACGAAGAAGAGCAAAAAGAATTTTCAAGCTAGCAGATGACTCTTATTTGTAGTAATTAACTTTGGGAAGGCCGAAGGCAGGTGGGTTTGTGGGGTTTGCTATGAAAAAGAGACTATTTTTATTTGTACTGCCATTTTTGGATGTTTTCTTATGTTCACAACATGACCAACTTGGGGATTCTTGACCGTTATTTCATTAATAAAAATCAATTAAAAATACAAATGAAAATTGGGGAGTAAACAACCCTAAAAAGTGAAGGGCTAAATTGCACCAAATTCCCCGTGTTATACGAAATGTGCGCGTTATTACTCTGTATTTTAAAAACTGCACCAGACCCCCTTTATGTTTAAGTACGTGTTGCACACACTCCCGTGTTTTAATTTTCCCATTAACGGCGTTAGTTTTTTTTATCAAAAGCCCTGTTATACCCTCTAAAAAATTTTTGTTGTCACTAAGGTTCAACCCTGAGACCTCATGGAAGCAAGACAAGTACTACAACCACCACACCACTCAAGATTGAGTGATAGATGTAGTTAGGTTTAATATATATCACATTACATATGGATGAATGAAACTAAATTTAGAAGATAATGTAAATTATATTAAATTAAATTATTAAAATTTACTTATAATAGATTTAAATATAATAAACTAAATCTATAAAATTAAACAAAAAAATAATTAAAATAACTTATTATATTAAACAAACACAAAATAATTAAAATAAAATTATAAATAAATATAAAAAATTACAGTTATATCATAATAATATTTATTGTATTTATTTTATATTATTTATATATTTGTGTATTTTATTATTTATTTTATTTTATATCATTCCATATTATTTTGTTGCATTATTCATTTAATTTTATCTTAGTTAACAAACTTTATTTATTTTTTTAACTTCATCAATGAAATAAAATTAATTTTTTTAATAAATAAAATTTAGAAATTTAATTTATTTATTTACATTAGAATTATTTTATTGTTTCATAATAAGTTATTTTATTTATTATTTATTTTACTTTATCATTTTTATACTTTATTTCTTTTATAATTATAATTTTTATGATACTTTAATTAGTTTATTTTGATTTTATGTAATTAATTTTTTTAATAATTAAAATGTATATTTTTCAAATTTTAATTTCACTCTACTATATTAAATTTTATCTTACTTTCTTTTAATTTATTTTTTATTGTTTCATGTTAATTTCTTTTCTTGGAAGTTATTACTAATATTAATTATTTAATTTACAGTAAATTGGCTTATTATACTCTTATTTTATTTTATTTACTTTATTTTAAAATATTTAATCATTTACATATGATATATATATATATATTTATGTACGATAAACATCATATCCATCCAAATAGCCTAGTGGTAGAGTTGGCGCGCCCTTTCTCCCACCCTAAGATCAAATCCTACTTCCTACATTGATTCAATACTATTTATTTTTTATTAAATCTAATATTATATTTACTTAATTTATTGTTTCATAATCAGTTATTTTATTTATAACTAGTACAGTTCTCGTGCGATGCACGGGGGTTAATTATCTTCGTCCCTTTTGAAAAGCAATTTTTAATTACAATTTAAAGTGCTTACTTACAAATAAACAAAAACTTATCTAAAAATGTAAAATGTAAGGATTATTAGAAAAGTACAAAAAAACAAAAAAAAAAATATATATATTATTGAACACTTCCTTATATACATTGTTTATAGTTTGATTCTTTGGCACGTCATCTTCGCCACAAATTAAGATTTTCAAACCAATTCTGTTTGTGACATGGGAGACAGCAACATACAACTGGCATGACTAAACACTGATTCTTAAGAAATAAGCCCACATGCGATAATGATTGACCATGACTCTTATTTATAGTCATGGCATAAAAGACCATAAGGGAAAACTTATTAATTGTCTAACAAAGTTTTCACACTGACTTGTAGTTATGATTAGATAATTCTTATTGCTAGTTATTAATTTTTGTTGACAATTAATTCACACTGACTTTGTTGACATTTTGTTAACAATTTCACACTGCTAGTACAGTGCCCGTGCGATGCACGGGTGTTTATTATCTCTGTCCCTTTTATAAAGGGATGTCCAGTTAAAATTCAAATTACTTACTAAATGAAAGAACATGCCATTAATAATTAATAAATTAATAAATATAATGAAAATAAAATCTATATACTATCTTCCTTATATCAATGTTAATGGTTTGATTATTTGGCACGCTATCATCGCCACAAAATAGGATTTTCAAACCATTTCTGTTTGTGACA